TCAGGTTTACTGGTTGAAGTGATTACTATTTATGCTACTTCCTTTTGATAAACTTACTTGCTGAAAAACTTGCAGTAAAAAAACGATAAGCGTGTATTATTCACTTCACGCATTCTCCGACCTTATTCTTCTTCCTCCTTGATCTTTCCATTCTTGTTGCCAGTTAATAAACAATCTTAGGAAATATAATCTTGTACCTGGTGAAGCCAAAGATCTAGGATGGATCAAAATTAATAACCTGTTCAAATATATATTATTTTTTTCATTTGTGAAATTTATTATAACTATTCATCCGTTTATGGAACAAGCTAACATTTAAAACAAGCATTCATGATTTAAATCATAAGACATCGCACAGCTATGTCTCAGCGCCCTTATTCATCTTACATCACTAATATTATAATGCATTAGACATCAATATTCGGAATACAGCAAATCATCATAAATTTAAGTCACTATTAAACAATATATCTTCAATACAGTAGCACAGATATTTTTGGAAGCACTTAATCTTTAGTACACTTACACTCAAATATTAGAAAGCATGTAATATATTATTTATTATTTCACGTATACAGAAACAGACATACATTTTGATAGTTTATAAAATTATGTACACTTTATTTAGAATTTTTCTATATTTTAAGACATTGGTTGAGTAGATTGGCCAGTGGCTAGACTCCGTCATTTGCATCGTACTTTAAATGTTATATTGTAATGTTAGTGATGCAATGAAGCGATTTTTCTCATGCTGTACTAGCCTTAGTCACTACAAAAAACTCAGAAACAAATATATCCAGATCTAGACGAAACTTCTTTATAGCAATTATACTATGCACCATTATTCATCTAGTTCAAATGAACAATGATGAATCGATGACATTATGGAAAACATAATTCCCAAGTCTCTGTTGAAGGAACCTAAGCTGCTCTGTGTTGACATAGAAGTGAAGAGCTGTTATGCATAGCCCTGTACGCTTTTCACTCGCTGATTAATGGTTGTTCCGCCTAAACGAAACTGACCAAACGGGTAAGGTGGAGTGTTACAAATTTGTTTAGTTTTAAGTGCTGAATGTTTCGGGTATAGTTGCGGACAACGAGTACGAAGTTGGATTAGCCGTGTTTTTGTCGGGCCAGCGCCAGGCGGTAGCGTAATTGTTTGCTAGCAGAAAATTAAGGAGCAACAGTTGTTGAGGTCCTTTATTAGAATACCTTAAGCTTTCTGAACGAGTAGAACATCGTAAATTTATATGCCTTTGTAATAAATTTGTAATGCTTGTGGGCTTTTATTCCCATGGACAAACAACTTCATTCCTTATTGTTAACTTTATTCTATCTTAAATCTTTGTATCCAGGTATTGCGAGGTGATTGCTCTGCTGACCGCAGCGTTATATTATTTTCAATACCTAACATTTTCTAACAGTTTACAATAACAATAATTATACAGTGTCTTCTACTACACCTCGTTCAATTGTTAACAAATGACATTGTTTAAAGATGGCGCCTAAGTAACTCGCCGAAAACTGTTGTGCTTCAAATATTACCAGAAAAAGATAAGAGAAAAATCTGTAAAACTGTTTTCAAACAAAGACTCATAAATATTAGGTATCATATAAGTTTAATTCGGATTCCCATCAAATATTTCCAAATTGTCTGAAAATCAACGATACTTCAGGTATCATTACTACTATACGACAGTGCTCTCTCCAAAATCAACCTAAAAGCAACTCCACTTCAACCCGATTTCGACTTCGGTTGCATTACTAAGCAACTTGCAGCCTTGTTTTGAGGTTATTTTATTTATTTATTTAGCAACATCCAACAGCCATAGCCAATTACAGGATGGATAAACATGAAAATATAAACAAATGCATGTTGTGGATGTATGTAGAGAAAGCTAAAACGCTGCAAAAAAAACCTCAAAACAGAACTGGGAGGAAAAAAAAGCGTTCTAGCTTTACCTACCCAGCACTCAACAATCACACCAGCAAGCATTAACGAAAATAAGCATTAATGTCTCCCAATGTCGCACAAAACGAAAATATATAATAATAATAATAATAATAATGACTTTATTCAAAAGATGATCATAGTATGGCGAAGTTTAGCCATGGCTACTCTACCACTTAACCATACTACAACCAGACATTACAAAACATTAGCATAACAACATGAATACATTAGAAATATATAATATGAACATATACAAAGAAAAGAAATAAAAGAACAAGATATCGTTCAGCAAAATGAATTTATCACTCAATGTGCTGAGTCCAGAAAGTGCAACTTGACTGTCTTCTTGAAGCGCTGCAAACTTAAGCTCTTAGAGATAGCTGGCAAAGAATTGTATACCTTGACCGCATTATAAGTAAAGGACCTTTCAAAGACCGACGTACGATGTATAGGAATGGAAAGTAGATCATTGTGCCGCAGATTTAGAGTAATTTGGTTTCCACGAGGAATCAACTTACAGAGCAAATAGACGGGTTTACCAGTTTTAAAAATTCTATGCATCAATGAAGCCATAGAGTAGTTGTATAAGCCGTCATCTCTGAGCCACTGTAACTCCTTGATTTTTGAAGAAACGCTACTGTACTTCCTAAGCCCAAATATGAATCTGCAACAGTTGTTCTGAAGCTTCTGCAATTTTGACTTGCAAGCTGAGTCTAGGCATGGGTAAATGAGGACTAAAGAGTAAGCTAAAATTGATAATATGAGGCTTTCACACAACTTTTTACGGCACTTAAAGTTTAGAATATGGCGACTAGAATATAAAAGCTTCATCTTCATATAACTCGACTTCATAATATTATTCACATGTAAGTTAAATCGAAGATCTGAATCAAATATAACACCTAGATTCTTAGCATTATCACAAAATGGAATATCTATGTCGTTGATAAACAAGGAGACCCGATTTGTGATGTTGTAATTTGAATGTCTAGGACAGTATGGTATCGCGGTTCATTTTGATGGATTGATGCGGAGACAGTGTCTATTGCAATACGTTAATACGTTGTCAAGATCTAGGTTAATTTTGTAGGATGCTTCATGTAAGTTGAATTCATTGAAACGAAATGTTAGCTGTGTATCGTCAGCATACATTTGAATGCAACAATGTTCTACACACTCATGCAGATCGAATGTGTATACTAGGAATAAAAGAGGTCCCAGTACTGAACCCTGTGGAACTCCTGATGACAGATACTGAAGAAATTCAAAGGAACTTCCGACATGCCATAATATTTTAACTTACTCAAAAGTATCTCATGATTGACCGTATCGAAAGCCTTGGAAAAATCAAGCATGACCAACAGCGTGCCGGATTTGTTGTCAAGGTTGGAAAGTATCTCATCTGCAAGATGTAGTAGTGCAGTAGTCGTACTGAGACCTTCACGAAAACCAGATTGGTGTACTGGAAAGAAATTATTATTAGCAAAATACTCAACAAGCTGTTCGTATACTATCTTCTCCAAGACTTTCGACAAGAAACATAAACCACTTATAGGTCTAAGATCGGCATGTTCAGACGGATTCTTACTTTTGGCTAGAGGTGTGACTATTGCCTCCTTCCAGTTGGATGGGAAAACGCCCCTCTCTAAGCAAATATTAATAATATGCGTGATGTGATCAAGTATTTCAGGCAGGCATAATCCTAGCATAGTTAGAGTGATGCCGTCACAACCCGCTGCTTCAGACTTGATAGACAAGACTGCATTCATAACTTCACGAGGGGTTACCAGACGAAAGTGAAATGATGACACGTCGGGATCGAAGCGTCTGTTGCTGTAGCTGTTGACAGTGGATTGTACTACTTTGAGGTTTTGATCGGCAGGCATAAAAGTACTTAAAAAGTATTCGTTGACTTCACGGGGATCTAGCAGATTAAACGGTACATCAACACGTTTCTGTTGACAGACATTCATAGATCTAAGTGTTTTCCATGCTGATCGTGTACTAATATCACCATATCTAGAAAGGTAGGCCCTCTTCTCCCTACGAAAGGAAGCAAGTGCGTAATTCCGCATATCTTTGTACGTAGACCAGTTCACTTCAGATGGGTCATGACGGGAATTCAAGAGAGCTTGGTCGCGTTCCTTAAAGATGCATCTCAGGTTCGATGTTATCCATGGAGCAGCCGGTTTTGTTAAACGAGCAGTTCGTAATGGCGCGTGCATATCATATATTTGTATTATGCAACTAGATAGACAGCTTACTTTGTCATCAACATCCATAAAGTAAAAGATACGATCAAGTCCAGCATGAAGTAAGTCGCCCTTGAAATTAATAACATCAATATTTTTTATATCTCTAAAAGTTACTAACTTGGGTTCAAATTTAGGAAGCTTCAGAGCAACAGCACAGAAAACTAACTTGTGGTCGGACACAAGATCAGCATTAAGAACTCCTGATTTTACAACACTGTTTGAATTGCTAGAAAAAATGAGGTCTATTAGAGTTGAGCTAAACTGAGTTACACGAGTCGGTTCATTTATTAATTGATCAAAATTGAAGCTGTCGAAGCAGTTGCTCAAAGGATTGTCATGATTCAAAAGGTCAACATTTATGTCACCAAGAATTATTATATTATCAAATTGAGGTACGAAGAAAGAAAGCATATCATCAATGGTATCAATGCTATCTGTAATTGAAGTATGAGGAGGGCGATACACGACGACAATAAGTAGGGTAGACTTGCCCATGCTGAGTTTGCAGCATAGCAATTCTAAGGAAGAGTCACCTACAAAATCAAGAGTATCAATAACGGTAATGTTGAAATTATTTCTTATATAGAAGCCAACCCCTCCACCCCTACCCAAACGATCTCTACGGAAAAGCTGGTAGCCTTCTATAGATACAGTTTGACTAGAAATGTTTTCATTAAGCCACGTTTCGGTAATGCATATACTATCGAATTTGTTTTGAACCAATCCACAAAAACAGTCGAAAGTAGTAATCAAGGACCGCACATTGAGATGACAAATATTTAAAACTTTGTTATTAAGCCTAGCCATAGTCAATTCTAGATTTTAATTCAGCAGATTTCTTTAAAAAACATGGACATTGTCTGTCTGATGCAGCATGATCGACTGAATATGGCTTAAAATCTCTAGAATGACTTTTCATATAATTATTATATACACAGCAATTCACACATTTCTTACTAACAGAGTTACAATCTTTCTCATCATGGTCATTAGAACATAACGAGCACACAGACTTATTTTTGCAATCTTTTTTCACATGACCGAATCGAGAGCAGCTAAAGCACCTAATTACTGAAATATGGTCACGGACAAAACACTTTTTCCAAGAGGTATACAAAAAGCCACGAGTAATTATGATTTTCCTCACATCAGGATCAACCTCTACTATATAACTCAACGAATATTTTAACTTTAGAACAGATATCACCTTTATATCACAATCAGCCAAGTAATCATTATTTTGGACTATTGATTCGAGGAAAGTGTTTCTGTCATCTAGTGATTTATCAACATCAGTAATCAAGAGACGGGGTTTAAAGGGTTTGGGAGTTGTTACTTTATACTTACTGTTAAACTTATTCTGAACTACACCCTTAAGTTTTTCTAAAGATTCTTCGTTAGAGCAAGTAATCAACATTCCATTTTTTATAAGCTTAACACCATTGATACTTATTTTCTCGGCAGCAGGGTTAACATTCGCTTTAACAGTATTTAAAACCTCGGAGTTTTTTTGACGTAATAATTAAAACAGACTTGGAATGATTGCTTACAGTTTTTTACACAACCTGACTATAAGGTACGGGAAGTTCAGTATTCTGCTGTATTTGTACATCGGGAAACCTGCTGGATGTAATTTGTTCAATTTTATTGAGCAAAATTTTGTTAGTAGATTTTAACTCATTCACAAGATCAGTTAGTAGCCGAACATCACTCTTCACTTTAGCAAGCTCCTTAATTACATCTCCATCGCTATTCGATATCACGGTTGTGGTTGATGTGTGACTATCTTCATCGCAGTTCTTGCACAGCCAGTCGGATTTTTCTAGTTTTATAACTTTGGCAATCGATAGGAAGCATTTCTGATGTAGGGTAACTTCACAATTTAGATTACAACATTTTATCTTTGCACTGCCTTTACGGATATCCTCTTCACAAGCCTCGCATCGCATGTCTATGTCTGGTTGCTTATTTTTACCAGACATACTGCTACCTCAACCATTGGAACTGAGCGCACGCCGCTGAGTCGAAAAACAACTAGACAGCGTGGAGTGGTTTTTGCTTGGATATTTTACTCAGAAATTCACTGGTGGTGCTATTAAAAGAACATCACACTGCACACGGCAATCAAATCGAATTTAAGAGTACATACCACAAATCACATAGACTAAACTGTATCCATCGAAGAAACAAAGTAAAATCAAACATATACACCCGTATTGCACGTGATCAAGAACTTAACCATAGGAGACGCTACAGGGCCGTATCAAGCTATTGTGACTGATCTATCAAAAAATGTCGTACAAGATATGTGTTGCTGTAAATTCTATCAAAAGCATAGTAAATTATCAGGAATATACCACGCCTTTCTAATCATATTTCGACATTAGGAATCAGTGCAAAAAATTCTGTATTCACCATTTCAGCAAAATGTTACTAAAACGCACACGAAAAAAACTTGTGGACCATCTCAATTGAAATTGTTCATATTTTATTATTAACTTACATATATACCCAATAATATTTACAAATCAACCTTCTATTCACAATGCAGAGCAAATTTTTTTGAGCAAATAGAAACTACAGACGTAGTAGTAGTAGTACAAAAGTTTATTACAGACTCCATAAAGTTTGTTAGTTTGATTGCTATTAAAATTTACATGAGAAATAGGAAGAAGGTCAAAATGGCACTATTGTGCTTTGGAACTCCTAAATTAACCCTAATTTTGTGTAATTATAAATTTGGAATTTCCACATTAATAACTAAAAACTTACACTTTGATTGCAGTCTATAATGAACTTACCTGTCTTGCCAAAAAGCCCGTTAAACTGCCAGTCTTAATGGTATCAATCCATTTATATGCTGTATTCCGAGGAGCTTGAATCATCAGAATTGTTGATGTCAATTATAAGGGGTTCAACTTGGGTGTCAATGATATTGTCCATATCCCACATTTTGGTTTCAACCTTCTCTTGGACATGGTCAATACATGTTCTCCATTTTGCTGGCGTAATTCTATCGACAGCAACATCAAACAGGTTTTTAAGGTCAGAAAACTTAAAAGTGCTGTTATTTGACGCCACGTATTGCTTGATGTCGGCCCAAATCAACTCGATAGGATTCAGTTCGCAGTGATAGGGAGGCAGCCTGAGAATCGTTTTATTTTGGTTTTTGGCCATTTCGTCAACAATTTTTAAATCATATTTATACTTATGTCGCTTGACTATATTTATCAGCTCAGCTTTGACCATTGTTTGGTCGAAGTCGATCTTCTTTGAGACAAGCCACTGTTGAATGTCTGCCTTTTTGGTGGCCATTGTTGGAATTTTTTCCAATTTTCTGGAGTGGTACGGGGCATTATCCATCACAATAATTGCGTTATCATCAAGTGTCGGCAAAATTTTTTTGAACCAATTTTCAAATGAGTTACCATCCATTTCTTCGTGATAGTCTCCAGTTTTTTTGGATTCAAATGCCCACAATGCTTCAGGAACAAATCCATCTACGCTACCTATGTGGCAAATGATCAGGCGTTTTCCCTTGCCTGAAAGTAATTAGTTATTTTACTTCTCAGCGAGCGCACTAAATGACGAAATTAAGCAACTTACTCTTTTTAGGTTAGTGTAGGATAGGGTCTTAGATTAGTTTTTGGGTGAAGGAAATACTCAGAAACTTGGATGAGATAGCAAAACTGAGTTCGGAGCTTCCAAATCATTGATTCGATCAGAAAATGAATTATCTGCATCCAAAAAAGTTCATATACTTCGAAACTTACCTGCAGGATTTTTCAATCCCGTCGAAAGGCCATCTAAAAAAGCCTGCCTTGAGGACCTCACAGATCTGTCTACCCAAACCTTTCCCTGCGTATGCCCCGCGTTCACCCATGTTTCGTCTAAATAATAAATTTTTCTTCCTTCAGCGCCGAATTGCCTAATTTTTCTAAGGTATTCTCTCCTCCAGATAACAATTTCCTCCTTTTCTATCAATAAACTATTCCTTCCTCTTTTCAAAAATCGAAAGTTTAGTTCTTTCAACAGCTTATGGAACGTAGATCTTTTAAAATTTGGCAGGTCCTCATCATCATTCACTTGCTTCAATATTTTATCTATTGTAGGTATTTCATTCCTGAAGAAGAAGTGATGTACTTTTCTTCTAATGGCACTTTTGTCAAAGTCATCTATTTTTTCGATGATTTTTTTTCTCGCTGGATATGTTTTTGGCTCAGATAGTGAGTGATTTTGTCTATATTCCTTCAAGATTTTGTAAACACTTGATCGACCTACTCCAGAAATTTCAGCAACCTTACATACGATATTTTCTATAGCCAATCCACTATTCTCTTGCATCTGGTTCTTGTAGATATTTAGAATAATTTGTTTTTCACCTGCGCTAAGATGAAGCTTTTTAGCCATTTTTCTGGGTGACGTTAAGCTGATTTCAACCACTTCATCAGCTGTATCTGTGTCAGACATTTTAGACTAATATTAAATTTCCGCAAGAAAAATCAAGTCAAGACGTGCATAAAACGTTCGCGCTCATAAACGGGTATCCGTAACTGATTACAATCCTGTGCGTGGTGACGAACCATCAACGTGACGCTGAGAGTTCCCTCTACTATGCAGCGTTGCCAGGCTTAATGTCACAATGATCATGTTTTATTGGGAAAATTGTCAGAAATCGCCGAATGTTGAACAGAAACATTACAAGAAGTCTAACCTTGAAATGTGAGGCTACAAATCGATATTCTTATAGGGGGGAAGGGTAGGGAGCTGTTATGGTTCCTATTAACCTTGGTGAAAGTTGGAAACGGTAATATCATATATGGCATACATTCGGTTGAAGGTGTGTGCACGGAAAATAGATTGCGGATAGGATTTTAATAGATAAATCTGCACAAAAAACACAAAAGGAGATTTTTGTATTTCCCTGAAGAATATCTCAAGGTTATTTCAGATGTACTCATCGAAACTTTATGGAAGGGTTATCGAAACCTTATTTTCAATTGCGATAGGGCCACATACCTCGACATCGCATTAATGTGAAAAATAAGACAATAGAAAAAAATTCCCTCACTGATGCTATCTCTTAGGAAAAATTTAACTATAAAGATTGCACAAAAATTTTCTTCACCTTTTTGAGCTTGTTTTCGCATCTCCGTATATGCCGTTCATAATTTGCTGCCGATCAAATTGGAATATACCTTTGTGATGCCATTTATTGTTATATAATGTCCTTTACAACAGTTATTGCACGTATTGCACCAACAGATTGATTTGTGATCCATGCGAATATGATCAACCACTCTGGCGAAAACTCGCCGAGCGTGGCAACCGTGCGACTTTGTCTGGAGGCTCGTCGCTACAAGCCAATCAGGAAGAGGCCGACAGAGCGCCATGGCTACCGATCACGTGTTGATCACGAATCAACCACTGTTTACGATTACTTTGTAGCTTCGTTAGATACACCTTAGGTGCACTACAAATTTCAAGAAAATACTCGCACTTTTTCACTTAAACAATGCGTTTATCAGTAGCTGAGAAGTAAACAGTAATATCACCCTCAGTGGCGTAACAATATAATAAATAACATATAATAATAACAATATCTAAAACGCTATTAACTGAATTATAATTACGACACATTATATATATAGGGGAAAACTTAAGTATGTCAGTCCTAGGCCTGGCTAAGTAAAAAGTTAAACTAGTTCGTGACGCTAATCTAGGAATTAAGAAGTTAAGTTGTTCTAAGATGACACTGGAGTCAATAATGCCATGGATGAGCTTGTGAATGAACTTAAGTGAATTCATTTTGCGTCTGCCCTCTAAATTATAGATTTTGTGTCTCGCCATCAACTCACTATGAGGAAAGCCAATAGCGGGATATATCCCGTCAGCTTTGTATGATAGGAATTTTAAAAACTTTCTTTGAACGGACTCTAAGCGGTCAATATATATTTGATGATGAGGATACCATACCAGGGACGCATACTCAAGCTTAGATCTTACATAAGCGGTATTTCTTACAATAAAACCATACGCCTTTGATGCAGCCACAACAGCATTTTCAATGTGAAAGGAGAAGGAAAGGTTTTCTGTCAAATGTGACTCCCAAGTCATTAATTATACTAGGTCTGTCAAGTTTCCTGTCACCAATACTATATTCATACATCATTACCCATGTTTTTAAAGTAAACGACAAAACGTGACACTTAGCAGCATTCAAAACAAGTCTGTTTTTACGACACCAGCTGTCAACCCTTACAATGTTGCATTGCAAGCGATGACAATCGTCAATGTTAGAGACTACAGAAAAGTTTCATATCGTCAGCATATATAAGCAAATCGACATCGATAACTTCAGAAATATCATTTATGAACATAATAAATAACACAGGTCCCAAATTAGATCCTTGAGGAACACCGGACATTACAGGGTATTCGCTTGACTTATGTCCATTGCACATAACATATTGTTTCCTATGACATAAATAAGATCTGAAAAATAGCAACAATGCATCTGAAAGACCAAATCTAGATAACTTATTGAGTAGAACGTTATGGTCTAAACTATCAAACGCTTTAGAGAAATCAGTATATTACATCCGTTTGAAGTTGTCTATCGATTGATTCACAAACATATTGAGTAAGATGTAGCAAGTTAGTAACTGTGGACCTGCCCTTCATGAAACCGTGTTGACTGACGGAGTTAGACCTGCTTACATGAAAATATAGCACAGTTATTATGTTTGGTGGAAGGAAAATGACTCACAGTGTCAATCAATGCAGGATGATGGGGATCCTCACACACTAACGCATCATCAGTATGTTCAACATAGCAAATGGCATTGCTCCAAATTAAGTCTAGCAAATTTCCACTGTCATTGTGTATGTAATTATACTGAATGACATTGAAAAATCTTGCTAAAACATTTAAAGTGTTTATGTAACTATTTGAGATACTATTTTCAAGATAATCAGCATATGATGTTATATTAAAGTCCCCAACAATGAAAATACTGCCAGTATGTAAAAGCGCTAGACTATGTATCGCTTCCAACAAGATTTCATAGTCGATAACGGTTACCTGAGGAGGTATGTACAGATTAATCACATATATTTTGGAGTAATGGACACTGACTTTAATTACTAAAATATCTATCTTTGGACTGACCTGGTTGAAAGGTGGGTACACATATATATCAATGGCAGATGACTTATATTCACTCCTAACAGCAACAGCCACTCCTCCACCTTTCCTCAAATTCACTGCTGAAAACTTACGATCAGATCTGTAAACTGAATAATTATCCGGAAAAACCTCACAATCATTGATATCAGTATCAAGCCACGTTTCTGTCAGTGTTATTAAGGAGTAATAGTCTTGTTGAGAAATAGAGTTGAATATTTCATTAGTTTTAGAACGCAAACCACGAGTGTTTTGATAATAAATAATAAAGTCTTTATCTCTATCAGCATCATGATCATGACTGTCTAGGCCTGAAGCAGTAGCTAGTTGCTATTTGACAGCGAGTAAGTCTCTTCTCAGTTTTTCTGTAGCATTCGTGAAGGCAGTGCACTGATTTTTGTCCCAAGCTGCATGATTTATTGGAACATTCAGATTCGACTTAGAATTTAATTTGACACAATTAGAACACTGCTTAGTTATTGATGTACACTGTTTAATCTCATGTTTTCCACTGCAGATTGGACAAGAAACCTCATTCTGACAAGAAGCTGAGCCGTGATGTAACTCATTGCAATTAAAGCAACGAAATACCTCCACGGCATCAAAAACCTTACAGCAGTCATAACCGACTAATAAGTACCCTGCCTTCATGACCCTAACATAGGAAACTCTATCTATTTGTAAGACAGATTGGAAGATTCTATTATTTTTTTTAACAGCATATGTTTTCAAAACTTTACACTCAACATCACCACAAAACACGTCAGGATTATCCTTCAGAAGGTAGCTACGTATCTGCTCATCGGAGTATTCGCCAGTCAATCCAACTATTCGTACCCTAGGATGAATGCCAGCAACTTCTTTGATGACGTATGAATCACCTAACATCTCTGTTGCAATGGAAAGCAGTTTTAAGTTATCCGCTTTGCTCTTACAACCAAGCACTATCCCACCTTCCTTGATATCACAAACTTTACCCAGATGAATGTTGGCTTCAAAAGGATCAACTGACTTTAGAATGTCCGTCTTGGTTTGAGTTACTGACTGATTAGTATTTTTCGGACGAATAACAATGGCTGGTTGAGTTCTGTTGCGCAGTACATCAGAATAATGAGGAGGATCAGCTGGAGGGTTAGTCTCCTTGACAGCATGTTTCAGCAGCTCATCCTTTATGGCAAGAATTTCATTTTTGATTTGCCCAAGTGAAGCATCAATTTTTTTCGACAGCACTGTATTGACGCTCTTTTCGTTAATAAACAGGCAGTTCCCTCTACATTCATCACATTTCCGTGATAGACCAGTGACATTTTTTAAGACACTCACTATATGAATGGAATGCCTCGCAAAAAACAGCAGGTTTTGTACGAGACACAGTAGTGTTACAATAAATGCAATTCACCATCTCAAACGTGCAGCATTACTGAAGCTACGTATTACGAAATTACTTTAATCAAACACGGATTTTACCTGCAACACTGCAGAAAGGGCAGGTATAATCAGCACCTCAAATATTCCGCTAGTTTTTTTACAGGAACATGAAGCGAGCAGAGACGAAATAAACACGTTCACTTATATTTGAGCTCGACGATCTTATGGAAAGCGTCGGTAAGCATGTACTTACTCGTATACAAAACTTCAATCTCTGGAGAAGTTCTGGTGCGTCCACTCTGTAGTGCAAAAGCTCATGGAGAAATGCCAGGCAAGCGATGGAACGTCTTAATTGTAGAGACAGTAGATTAAATTGACTGTCGCCCCTTTCTGGATATTCGCAATAACACAATATTATAAGTACAATACAGCGAAATAAAAAGTGTTGTTAGTGATGCTTCGTTGGAAAGGGATCAGCAGTTGCGCATTATAAAACCTAGAGGCCGCGTCGCTCCGAAAGTGGCGCGTGCTACATAGAGAGAACAGTCCAACTTGCAGGAGAATGTTCCTGCACCAAGATTAAAGATAATCCAACTCATTTTGCGGCTATATGGAAAAACTACACCTAGAAATATTTAGAAAGATAGAGTTATTGATCCACCTGAAGGGGAATACAGCTCTCTAAATTTGTAATATTGGCGTAGATGTTCAGATTATTGGCAAATAGTAAACTGTGACACTTTAGTGACGCGGCAAGGTTATTCATGGAGAATAAGAACAGCAAAGTGCATAGGTTCGATTTTTGCAGCACGCCTGAGGGAACAGTGCTATTTGCTGAACAATAACAATTATGATAATGGGTTCGATTGGAAAGATATGAGCTTAAGAAGCCGACTAACTAACGCCAAAGTAATTAAGGCTATCCACTAGAAGATGATGGTTTAACTAATCATTTGCCTTGCTAAAATCCATGTATACAACATCAACTTGATGTTTATTGTCTATCGATTCAACTATAAACTACACCTGAATTTACGTAGTAATTGATAACATCGATCTTGTACCAGAAGCAAAGGCGCTGCCAGTTTCCTATCCAATTCATTTATATAGTGGTTGCCAAGAGATATTCATGGTCTGCATGCATTTTTTTTCAATATTTGGATCTATATTTGAGCTCACCGGTCCTTGCTGTTTAAACACTTATTAAAACGGTCCCATTCTGTTTACGTAATAAAAAACACCCATTAAAAATGTATAATTGGTCATTATTAACTTTGGCATAAAGCAAACTCGTTTTTCATCGATTTCCGCCATTTCTATTTTTAATTATTAATTAGTCTAATTGGGTTTCCCGTTACAAAATATTATTTTGTTACACGTGCGTATTTTTATACGGTAAAATGGAATTAAACAATATGTACCACGTTCAATTTTTAATCAACTAAAAGTATGAACTCAAAAATATTCCGTGCCTGCCTTTTATATGTAACAGTGAGTTGAAAATCATGAAAAATATCTTTTTAACAAGAGCGCATTGATTCAATTACACTGATGAATTTGAAGTATGAGCTCCATACTGCAGACGTGAAGTCAAGAGGATTAATTCAATTTTCATTCACGATATATATAACGAACGGTGACATCGGCTTTTGTTTGTTGAATGAAAGTTTGTGGTCGTTCATCTATTTGCTTGACGCACATTAAATTATGTCTTACGTTTTCAGGTTTGAAAACACAAAATTTTGTGTCTATGTTATGGAAGCTGCCACAAGCTAGAAGCATTCGAATACTTATTTTATTTTAAGTCCTATTCAATATATATATATATATATATATATATATATATATATATTTATACAAAACAAAACCAATTATCCATTCATAAAAATAAGTAGAGTGATTTAGGTGATTTCGTGAAATCTCGAAATCACCGAAATCGGTTCACAGGACGTCCAATCGAACTGGTGCGTAATGCGCGCATCTACTGTACTTCTACTATCGACTCAACGCATACTGAAATTTGCAGCAGACCGCAGACCTGTATCACGAATGAGAATAATAGGCAGATACGCCGTGTTGCCAATTTGAGTAGAGCTTCCCGAATTGTGGGGAATTTAGAGTTAAGTGTTGATTCGTTCAAGCTTTTAATCAGCATGGCCTAGACGTTAGAACTTCATAAAGATAACATTGAAGCTGAATGCTGCTGGAGTATAGTGTTTCGAATATACAAAGCGGAGCGGGACACTATCCTCGTTCAATGGGTCATCAAGCCACAGTCTTTTCAACAAAGAAATTATTTTACGAAAATGCGTTATATTTTTACGATTTTGTCGTCACCAAATCTCTGTTTCTCAAAATGTACGTCTATTGTAGAATTTTCAGCAAACTAAGCAAGAAACGTGATCTAGTATTTACTGAACATTACGGATTTCTCGAAATACATTAAAAAAAGTGACCTAGATACCTAACTGCCCCAAGCTCTTTAAATATAACACCTTAAACCAGGGTTACCAGGTGCTCAGTCACGTTGATTGTCATGTTGTACTGCGCAAGTCAGCAAACAATCTGGCGTAATAAACGTTAGGAATCATCAGGTATTGCCAGATTCCCGAATACCGGGCACCATAGTACCCGTTATAGTTGTCATTCAAAGTTGTCAAATCGCCCCTATGGCGCAAATTCGCCACACCAGGCAACTGTGCTATAAACAAACCCTGTTTATCATTACTATTTGATAGTCATATGGTAGTTGTAGCCCTATCTAGCGGTCCATGATTTCTCTCAATACTGTTGTATCTCTACTGGCAACAAGAATAGGGATTACAAAATGATTTATACAACAATATACAAACATGAAAAATATGATTTGAACCATGAAACATTAATACAATTTTAATAGTTTGAACTTTTTTAATTTTTGGAATACTCTTATGTGGAATCCGCAGCTATTTTTCCCGAAATTTGGGTAGACTTAGATTTCTTAGAAATATGACATATTGGTATCGGCAACTCTGCGAATGGGAGAAACAAATCGCATTTGTTGAGCGCATCCGTCTAAGCAGCAGGCGCCAGCGCCCGTTCTGTCATCTCTCTTTTATCACTCTTCTACTTTACCCCGGTGTCCGTCACACTCCGACGCTGCCAGATAGAATCCTACAATCGAGTGTCTTTCACGCACCTACATACTTTTGTATATTTCCATCTCTCTTCCTCATCATAATGTATAATAATGTTTTTTCCCAAGGTGTATATATTTGACGTAAGAACTAATAATCAGAACAGTATAAATCAGCTTCAAGCGTAATAGAGAAAAACAACTGTAACAACATCAACAAACAACTATCACTACTCAAGACCTAAGCTACAAAAACTGTGAGCATTATAATAAAAAAGTGTTTGAAAATGAGGTTTTCTAAAGAAGAAATGGTGAATATGGTGTTTGTTTTGGGCGAAGCCCAAAGAAATAGTTTCCCAGCATATCGCATTTATAAGCAACGGTACTCTAATATGCGACATCCAAGGCTGGAAACATTTTCCACACTACGAGAACGTTTTAAATCAAGTGGAGCAGTGGAATATACTGAAAAAATGTATAAATAATCCAAGTGTCATCAATAAGGCGAATCTGTTGAAGGTTTTATTAAAGTTGCAGGAAAATCCACATTTAAGTGCACGACAAATTGGAGCAGAAACTGATATATGCAGCACTTCTGTTCAAAGGATCATTCATAAGCATAGTTACCTTCCTCAGGATTTCGCAGCTCGAATGGAGTTTAGTAGAATAATGCTAAATAAAGAGAGTGAAGACACTACTTTCCTGGTTAAGGTTCTTTTTAGCGGTGAGGCAACTTTTAACAGTATAGGTGTTGTCAACAGGCATAAGGTGCACTATTATGCGAGGGAAAACCCTCACTGGGTTAGGCAAATAGATTTCCAAAATAAATGGAGCTTGAATATTTTGGGAGGAGTTATTGGCAGACAAGTTATAGGATCTTTCTTCTTCGACAACAGACTAGCAGGTACAGAATTTTTTGATCGAGCATTTGCATTTGCTTTTGGAGGATTTCAACCTGCAAACTCGGATGCACATGTACTTTCAACATGACGGCGCACCTGCGCATTATCATAATCGTGTGCGTAACTATTTGGACACCTGGAGTAACAATCCTTGGATCGGTCTGGACAATACACTTTACATCTCAGTATCTAATTACCAAAACCCCAAATATATGTTATATCAATATTATTCTTTTGAATTGGTTTATCCAAATATGCAGTAAAATTTGAGGCAAATAAGGAAAAATAGAAAATAAAATTGTAACTTTGACACCCTGTATCTCGCAAACTATCAACTTTTAGACTGAGGTATGTTTAGGTCAACTGACATATTTTGGTCTGTAGTAACTTTCAAGAGTTCCCAATCTTTCGGAGACACCCTGTATATATGTATACATATACATAGATATTCGTGTGTGGACGGAATATTACTCATAAACAAATACATTTTGGGAAAATCTATTTATGGCATGTTATGACATTTGAGGGCACATTTATTAAATATTGGCAATTATATAGGGTGTCCTAATTTTGACCTACATATCAAAGTTGTGATTTTTTGGAATGCCTCAAATTGTATTGCATATTTGGATAAACCAATTCAAAAGAAGAAGATTGATATAACATACTATGGGATTTTGGTAATTAGCTACTGAGATGTAAGGTGTTCTGTCCAGAAAAACCATCCCCTTCGGCAACCCCTCAATCCGCCATTTTGAAATTTGGAGTGCTGAATTTTGTATCAAAAAAAACTTACACACCTCAGCTTTTATCTTATTTGTTACTTTTTCGAATTTTATTTTTGCTCATATAGCGAGGTCAAACACGCGAATTGTACTTTTCTCAAAATTTCAAATGCATCACCCTGTATATTTGTTCAAGTTTGGATTCATTTTTTTGGTATGAGGTTTGATTCAGATGAAATCACTAGATTTTGAGTTTATTAAGCTTTTAATGGGACAACACACCAAAATTAAGGAAAACATCGCATCATCCATGAAAACAAAAGACAAACAGTGGGCTAGTTCCATATTGCCACTAAGAATACAGATTTAACGTAAAAACTAATAACAATCAGAACAGTATAAATCAGCTTCAAGCATAATAGAGAAAAGCAACTATAACAACAACATAAACAAACAATTATCACTACTCAAGACTTAACCTACAAAAACTGCTCGAAAATATCTCCACCAAGTTGAATACACAGCCGTAGTCTTTAGATAAATGACCATTGTACATCCCTCAGCATGTGTTCCCTTATGCTCAGAAAAGCATCTTTAATATTTTCCTTCATATTTTCCGGGGTAGATGGTGGATACCTATAAACCTCTTGCTTAACATTGCCTCATAGAAAGAAGTACATCGGTGTCATATCTTGTGATCTAGGAGGCCAAGATATAGGCCCATCATGACCGATCCAACGATTGTTACTCCAGGTGTCTAAATAGTTACGCAGACGATTATGATAATGCGCAGGTGCGCCGTCATGTTGAAAGTACATATAAAAAATCAAGTATTCTGTGCCTGTTAATCTGTTGTCGAAAAAGAAAGGCCCGATAACTTGTCTGCCAATAACTCCTCCCCAAACATTCAAGCTCCACTTATTTTGGAAATCTATTTGCCTAACCCAGTAAGGGTTTTCCGTCGCATAATAGTGCATGTTATGCCTGTTAACAACACCTATTCTGTTAAAAGTTGCCTGATCGCTAAAAAGAACCTTATCCAGGAAAGTAGTGTCTTCACTCGCTTTATTTAGCATTATTCTAATAAGTTCCATTCGAGCTGCGAAATCCTGAGGACGCAAGCATAGGTGATATGGATGGTACCTATGCTTGTGAATAATCCTTTGGACAGAAGTTCTGCATATACCAGTTTCTGCTCCAATTTGCCGTGCACTCAAATGGAGATTTTCCTGCAACTCTAATAGAGTCTCCAACTGATTTTCTACTATATTCCGCTGCTCCATTTGATTGAAAACGGTCTCGTAGTGTGGAAAATATTACCGGCCTTGGATGTCGCATATTAGGGTACGGTTGCTTATAAATGCGAGATGCTAGGAAACTATTTCTTTGGACTTCGCCCAAAACGAAGACCATATTCACCATTTATTGTTTAGAAAAATTCATTTTTAAACACGTCTTTATTATAATCCACATAAATCTAATTTTGACAGTTTGTAACTAATTAACAATTTATTTGTTTCCAAGAATGATGCGATATTTTAGGGAATTAAGCCGTTCCATAAAAGACATGCTAATAACCGAAAAAATAGCCGTAAAAACCCTTAGGTGTCTAGTATCAAAAAAAGCTTATAAAAAATTGAATCCAAACTTGCACAAATATACAGGGTGATGGATTTAACATTTTTCAGAAAAATTTGCGTTTTTGACCACCCTGTATGAGCAAAAATCAAAATTAATAAAAGTAACAAATAGGATAAAAGCTGAGGTATGTAAGTTTTTTTTGATACAAAATTCAGCCCTCTGAATTTCAAAATGGCGGACTGAGCGGTTGCCGAATTGGAGGGTTTTTCTAAACAGAACACCTTATATCTCAGTAGCTAATTACCCAAACCCCATAGTATGTTATATCAATTTTCTTCTTTTGAATTAGGTTATCCAAATCTGCAGTAAAATTTGACGCATTCCATTTGAAAAATCACAACTTTGATATGTAGGTCGAAATTGGGATACCCTGTATAATGGCCAATATTTTAGCAATGTGCCCTCAAATGTCATGTATAATATTCCATTAATAGATTTTCTCAAAATGTATTTGTTTATGAGTAATATTCCGTCCACACATAGATTTGTTATGAGTATATTAATTTTGCCTGTGTCAAAACACAGAAGAACTAGAAAGATGTACTGCATGACAATGAAGAGGGGCGTGTGTATTTTGATTGAGGAAGAACCTAACTGGTGCAAATGAGAACGGAATAGATTTTCATAGAACGACACTTACCCCAAAATGAATAACTAACCACTGATTCTATTCCTTACTAGCAGATGGACAGAGCCACTTGTTACAAAGAGAATCCATGAAAATGCGCTGCATCATCACCGAACGGCCTTCAAGCGATGATCAAGAAATCACATTGGCGATGGCCTACATTTTAGCTTAAACCGTTGATTTTTCGGTCACAGCGCGATATTGTTTATTACACGAATCCGCTGGAGTTAATCAAACGCCAACTGTGGTTGCCTCTTAATAATCAACCACAAATACATTTTTTTACCAAAAGTAGGATTCTTGGTTTAATTTTGTCCGACATCTTCACCAAAAGATACTTGATGAACTGAATCTGTGTGTTTTTGTCTCTGTGACCATAGTCGTTTTATGCTTTTGAAGTAGATATAAGCAATTCAACAGTAATCCATTTTTAATAGTTTTCGTGCAATAACTTTACTTTTAATTTATTGGTTGACGGCGGCAGGGACTCAGTAGGTCTGTAACTATACAATTTTCCCGTAAAACATTTTCGGTTGGACAAAAATATTTTTGGCTATCTTTAACAATAACTTTTAGAAAAACCGAAAGAAATGAACTGACTAAATTTATGTTATCCCGTCTTTTCATTTTGGAAGAAATATGAGGTGTTTGGGGTCATTTTCTTGGAAAAAGGCGGTAATTGTCACCTCTTCGCTCTTTTGACAATAGAAAAGCGTGCCGATGCTAAGGTTAAATTGGCCACATTTTTTTGTTCTGCCAAGAACGATTGACCTCCAAGACGTCTTCATGGTAGCATAGCTCTTTCAATATTGGCATTATCAACAGACATTTATTGGTTAAGATTTTAGTCAAAATTATGCCGAAAAAGTATCTTTCGACATTAAATAATCTGGGACAGGTTGCCTATGGACGATACTTTAGCGTCCCTCTCTGATTCTTTTTGAGGTTAGAAATGAGTAATTCATTTCAGACGTACCTTCTTAAAAATCATAAAGAATAAAAATGCAATCATCTGTGTTGGGTTATTTTTCTGTTTCTTGAATAAAATTTGATCCGCCATTCGAAATTGACCAATTGGAAAGCGTTTTGGAAGTAATGTATCTAATGAATTTGGGCGGTTTCTTCTACTAGCGGAAATTTATGCGATTTGCATAAGAAGAGCCTCCATTTCCCATTTTAAATCAAGAAAGTCTTCAAAAATTAGCTACAAAAAAAAGTTTTTGTATTTTATCCGAGATCCGGGAATTACACTTTGAACCGCGGATCGGCTGGAAAAAATAGGTTTTTGTAGCCAAACTAGGTGATTTATGAAGGAACTCTTGATTCACTAAAGGAAATATAGTTTCTTCCTTCACACATCTATAATTTTTCGCTAGCTGGAGAGCCATTTTAGAGTATATCGACGAGGCTCATGATATACATTACTTCAAAAATGCCCTCTGATTTTAATGAATTATCCGTTAGTTTTTCCAGATAACGCGTACTTGCTTGATTAACGTCATTTTTGACAGCGTTTCCAGGAGGGCAGGACCATACGCAAGACAAAATACAATAAAACAACGACGAAAGTAAATTTTCCGTTACTGTATTGAACCGAAAGACAAGTTGAGAAAATATGCATCAACCTGACCTTTCGCATGGAAGGTGAAATAATTCATATTGACATTAAATACAGTATTAATTCGCAACAATCTTTCTGCCTACCGTCACCGATGCAAAATATCGTTTATTTCCGTCTGCCGAGCGGCCCTCGGTGAATTATTAAACAGCGACAGCGTAAAAATTGAGGAGTTCATTTTGTAGGAAACCATCAAGTCGCCTGCGACTGGACGCTTACATTATTAAGAGGTCCGGGCCCTGTGCGGAGACCGAAGCGGTGGCAAAAGGACGTGCGCTCCGGGAAAAATTACGCCCGCTAAAACTTTTACGGTTCCCTATTCACGAAAACTACCTACACTTTCTGGACGATTGATACTGAAATAATAAACGGTTGGTCGGTAGTGGTGGGTAACATCGCATGCGGTCTGTCGTCTGTCGCTTCAATTAAAATAGATGGCTGTTCTGGTGTACTATACCTGCATATGTAATTGCTCGTTGTGGAGGGGATGACAAGACATGTATATGTTACGGTTACAGTACTTACTTAGCTAGTTTATAGACTAGCTGAATAGTATACAAACTATCCATATCTCTGGTTACTTTGATGGAAAATTAACTTTTCACTAAAACAGATACGAATATTGGTTTAGTTGTATACTATCCAGTTAGTCTTAAAAAAGATACAGAATGTATCGCCAAAGTACAAACTACAAGAAAATTATATGAATTAACCAGAATTTGTGGCTAGTTCACGAACTATCCACAGTAGTTGGATACAGTGTGTACTTAATATTACTAGTACTACATAATAACCAACTTGTTGGTTAGTATGTAAACTAACCAATTTGGCTAATTTAGGCCCGTATCGTCAGTCGTCCCTACAATTGTAAGGCGCGTTTATGGCCTCCTTGATTGTCATACTCCTTTCTCTCCTTCAAAAATTTCTAGATTACACTTGTCCCGTGTCAGCGTCAGCGCTCTTCTATTGTGAAGGTATGTTTTCTTTTTAAATTGTAGGAAATAAAACATGATATAATTCAAAAGCAAGCACAATTTGATGCAAATAGATGTTTGTGACATGACCTCAAAATAGAGCGCTGACACGAAGTAGAAAGCTATGACAATCAAGGAGGCCACAAAGGCGCCCTACAATTTATTGTAGGGACGACTGACGATACGGGCCTTAGTTTAAGATAGTAATATAATACTTGATCAAAAATATATTTTATTTTCAGGTACAACTTAGTTAAAATTTCTAGTACTACTCAAAAAAAAACTTAATTAAGCCAACTAAGACTTAAATCAAGTCAATTAAAAAATTTAATCAACCATGATAATATTAATATAAAATAAATATTTCTACAATCACATGAAAGCCAGAATCACCATTTTCGAATCCGCATAACGAAACTGATCACCTTTCTCAAATCTTAATGATCATTTTTTGTTCCTACATTGTATTTTTTCCTCAATAAACATTATTATTATATCATAGAAAATTTACATATCTGAAAGTCGAAGTTGAAGTTTTCATCAAATTTGTCTTAGATACTTCTTTCGAAACATTATTATTCGATGACCTCGCTATATATTTTGAGAAAACTAAAAACTAATTTTCAAAAAACAGCTCAGTAATGTACAAAGTATTCTCCCCCAGTCTTAATGCACTTCTGTAGCCTGACCTTTCACAAATGAAATGCTTCTAACCAGTCAATTTTTGGAATGCCAACAAACTGATTAATTGCTTGATCGATTTCCACTTACGAAAATTTTCGACCACGCAAATTTATTTTCAAATTGTTGAAGAGCCAGAAGTCACTCATTGCCAAATCTGAAGAATAAGGCAGATGTTCCAGCATTTTAATGTGGCACTGGTGTAAAAAGTCTATAGTTAGTTGGGCAGTGTGGCTAGAGGCATTGTCGTGATTGCACGCAATAACTTTTATTTAAACGAAGACGATCTTGCAACGTTTTTCATCAGTCAATGAAGCACGCCCTCTTTTAAATTCGGCATACCAGCGAAACACACTTGCCCTGACGGAGCTTGATTACCAAATGCCTGTTGTAACCTTGTATCCGTTCGATGCATTGATGTTATGTTAAACCGACTTTGAAGTCAACGTTTCTCTTACATATCAACGACCTTTCCTGCACGATCAACCCAGTCCACAGCTTCGCTGACGACAGCACTCTGCATGCAGGAATTCAGAGTGACCAGCCGATCTCTGCCGCTGAGCTGGAAAAAAGAAGACTACGACGACTTCCTCTCTGCTCTCTGCTTGGGGACGCAACAATCTTGTACAGTTCATTCCTTCCAAAACACAGTACTATACTTTGACGAACAAAAAGCGTCCTAGCGCTCATCCAGTTTCGATGGACGGCCGAGTTCTGCCAAAGGGCCATTCATTTCGGCTGGTCGGAGTCCAGATCACCGAGGACCTGATCTGGCACGAACACATCTCGTCAATAGCTGCAGCTGCTGGGTAAAAGCTGGGCTATTTGTTTAGGGCTAAGAAGTACTTTTCTCAGAATGACCTTCTCACTCTTTACAAGGCCCAGATAAGGCCTAGCCTCGAGTATTGCTCACACGTTTGGGGTGCTGCCGCCCCGACTACATTATCCATGCTCGATGCTGTCCAGAGGAGGGCGGTCCGACTGATCGATGACTGTTCTCTAACAGACAGTCTTGCGACTCTTTCGCACTGGTGGGCCGTCGGCCATCTAGCTCTTTTCTATCGCTACACCAACAGTGCTCTCTTCCATGATGCTGCCGCGCGATGTGCCTGCCAGACAGACCCGCCTGACTTTGGCGTCCCATTTCTACTAACCGTAGGCAGTTCAAAAATCGTATTAACAAAATTTCTTTGGGATCATCATAGCAGCCGCGGTGTTCCGGCATTTAGGCTTCTGCCTGCGCGGCTGCCTTGATATAAAAAATAGTAAATCATAGCGCGATAACTCTCTCGAGACAGTTCCATATTTCGTCTTAAATTTGTTTACACCACGTGCACTGTAAGATGCTTGCAAATGAACTGAATGCGGCGACTTACTAATAAAGGACTGCTCTTTCTAATAGTGCACTGTTGCCGGTTTTAGCTAGTTCAGCTAATGCGCATCTCAAAATGTACATCGTGCCACTTGCATTAATGATTTCTTGGTGATGATATTCCCGAAAAGCACAGCACAACAAACGTATTTTTATTGTTTCCTACCTTCTTTAATGACTGCGATAACGCGGTTGTCGAAAGTTATTCTACTCGTGAGCTTCAAGGGCATATATACAGTAGAATCGGTGTGAAATATGTCCGTTCTGTTGCATAGAATTACCGGGGCCAGAAGTATATAACTATTCTGCCCCAGAGAAGTAGAGAAAAATTGCAAAATTGATCAGGAGTCTCTAAAATCTCAAAAAACGAAGTTTGAGCGATTTCAATTCTTCAGTATTTTGCCTCTAGCTCCGCTCTTGGACCGATTGTCAAAAACTACAATGCTTTTTTGTCTTTGTGAGAGTAGTAACCTTGTGTGAAAATCCGAACAGCACTTTCCAACACATAGACGGGTCAAGAATTAGCGGACAGTCCGACAGACCGACCGATGGAAATGAGTGACATGGTTTTTCGTGATGTCCAACTATGAATTGAGCCCCTCTAACTTTTTTATATGAACGTCCAGAAAGAAAGTTTTATATAAAAGTTATAGGGTTTGATATGGAGTTTTTCACGTAGTATCTTTTGACCCGGAAAACTGCTGTCAGATAAAGCTGAATTTTTTAAACGTTACACCCAATATATTTTTAGGGAAAATGATAATATCCTTTTTTCTGATTCAAAATATGTACGATTCATCACACTTATTTTCTCTAATTTGGCCAAAAACAAAAAAGTTTGTCTGTCATCTACTCATGTGTGTTAGAGTTCGAAGTAGTTTGCATTTGGTTTGCATTTAGCCGCATATGCAATCTGGTATAGGGACAGAATACATATGATTAAATAACATACAAGATTGGAATCAGGTTAAAAGGGATTATCATTTTCACTGAAAATATACACTAAAAAAATGCAACTTCATTCGATAGAACTCTTCTGAGTCACCTGGTAGATAAGAAATATCGCATGAAAAACTTCATATTAGACTATAAGCTTAATATACAACTTATTCTTCTATAAGCTCATATTAAAAAGTTAGAGGGGGGGTCAGTTTATAGCTGGACATTGTACATGTGATATAACACCAAAAAACATAATATCTGATTTTCGAAACTTTTCGGGACTACAATACATCCTCGCCAGTTCGTATGTAATAAAGTATTTTTGAGGTACTACCATTGTTAACTTGGTGTTACTAGGAAAACAGCATATTTTCTATGCTCCTAATAATACCTAACGACATGCTGAGTAGCAGCACGCTAACGAACGTGTGAAGCCATTTGTCATAATAAGTACGGTCTCAAATGTCATACGTGATGTTTACATGGATTTTCCAGGCTAATTTTGTGTAAACCTTCATTCGACTTGCAACAACGATGCATTCAATGGTACATCGGAGTCATATTTATTGGTATTGGCATGTTCTCCGATAACAAGAAATGAAATTTTATGTTCCGGAAATCTCATATTTTAAAGAAATCAAATTAAATAAGCTCTACTTTCTGTTATAAGTAAGCCGTCGGAGAGATGCATAAATTAGGACCTTCTGGGGTACCTTGAACGTCAAGGCTTGATTAGCTACAGGCAGAAAAGTTTTCAGCACCAGCGATCTACTGAACACCTCCTAGTCTTCGTTACGCGACTGTGGAGTAAACTCATCCTGTCTTATGGTGGGTCTCATGTCGTTGCTCTTGATATCACGAAAGCCTTCGAACATCTGTGGCATGCCGCTCTCTTACGCAAACTTCCATCCTATGGTCTCCCAGAGAAGCTCTCCAGATGAGTGGCTGACTTCCTCTCTGGCCGCAGGAGATCCGTCGTAATTGACGGGTTCTCCTCTCCATCCCTTAACGTCAACGCGGGTACTCCCCAGGAGTCAGTGTTGGCTCCGAAATTGTTCCTGTTACATATCAACGATTCCCTTTCCTGTGCGATCAATTCAATCCTAGCTTTCTGACGAGCGACCTGGAGGTTATCACTTCTTCCGGACGCAACAACCTGGTGTAGCTCAATGCTTCCAAATAACAGTACTATATCTTGACTAACAACAAACGCCTCGGCCATTCATCCGGTTTCGATGGTTGGACGAGTTCTACCAAAGCGCCGTCCATTTGTTGTTCAGATGTCTGGGGTGCTGCCGCCTACTACATTATCCATGATCGATGCTGTTCAGAGAAGGACTGCCAAACTCATCTATGACTCTTCTCTAACGGACAGTCTCGGGACCCTTTCATTTCACACCGACGGACCGTCTCCAATCAAGCTCTCTTCTACCGCTATGTCAACGGACTTTGCTCCTAAAAACTCTCCTCGATGATGCCGCTGCGCGATGTGCCTACCGGACAGACCCGCCTGACTTCGCCCTTTCATCCTTACCAAGTCAAACTTCGTCCATCCAGAACTGGCCGATATGACCAGTCCTTTATCCCTCGGGTATCGAGA